TTGCTGCTGACTGCCCCCCAGGTTGGATTGACTGGACCTCATCCACTCTTCGTGGTCTTCTTTCCAAAGGCCCTAATGGGCTGCTTTGGACTTTGTCGTGGAGTCCGGTGTACACAGCAGCCCTTTCGTCAGGCACATCACAATCATCAACGAATGCCTCTAGCTTCTTCTCTAGCACTCCAGCGCGGTGTGCAGCGTGCGAGCGACATCTACATTGTAGCAATACTTAGAACTCTGCGCGTTTTTCTTTCGGGGTGTACACTTTACGTTGCGTATGCGGTGGACGACACGCGGCCACCAAGAACCCCTTATTGACCCTTCCCCCGGCGCTTCTGCTGCATATTGTAGCTCGTCAAGAACCAGAAATATCAGTGCCATGGTTTGTATCCCGCATTTGACCTGCGTGGATTTCACCCACATCTTTTTGAACGCAGATGCAAAGAGGCATTCTAGATTGGATAAAAATTATTTCAGGTCCTCGAGGAAGGGCGAAGCCTTCTTCTCTGCAATTATCAAGTGCCGTATCTGCAAACTGGCGCGTTGAAAAAAAGGCCAATGACAGGTCAAAGCCTAGATTATCTTTCTCCTCAGGCGGAGGTGTCTCCTGGACTAGAGGAATGCGGTGCAGCGGATGGGTTTACAGACGGCACCTCCGCAAGCTCCTCGTTGAGCACTTCGGAATTTGGTAAAAATCCTTCAATATCCGCTCGCAGCTCTCCACCTGTATCCTAAAGAGACACGACAAAAACAGCAGCAGCAGAAGCGCCAGAAACAGCAAAACCAGACGGACCAGCCATGACAACAGCAAAGAACAAGAACAAGAACAAGAACAAGAACAACAACAACAACAACAACAAAACACAACAAAACAACAGCAACAGCAGCAGCAACAGCAATGATGACGACGATAACGACAACAAGAACAAGAACAGCGAGACAAATAGCAGGAAGAGCAACTACATTATTCAGTCCGGGAATATTGCACTTCATCAGCTGCTCCGAACAGCTATATGCACACATAGACGCACGCACACGCATCCACCAGACAGTTTAACGACTTTAGTGGCGACTGCTGCAGCAAATACAGGAATCAACACGTAGTGGCGTCTAGTTTATTGCATGCATGCATGCACAGCTTGCATGTAGCAGCTTCAGCTTGTTGAGGCGACGCCCGTTGCCCACGCACCATGATACGCGCAGGCAGCAGCAGCTGCGGGACAGCATTAGGATCGTCAAGAGAAGAGGGCACTGCGGTTGGATCGTGTTGCTGGAAGCTGACTCCTCCTGCAGGTGTCCCAGCTGATGCTATCCACGACATACGGCCTGAGTCATGCGGCATAATTTGGGGACTCAGGGGGTCTGGATCTGGCTCCTGTCTAACGTTAAATCTCTGCTTGCGCCTTCCCCTAGGCCTCTTTGCTGTTGTGGGGGGCATTGAGGGTCCTTCATCCACAGTATTCGACGGAGCTCTCCCGCCCGGGACAGAGGCTCCTAGTGCAGCTTTAGCTGAGCCATCGGATATATTTTGGGGGGTTGAGGGGCCTGGAGATGACCCCTGCTCATCGCCAATTCTCCGCTTACGGCCTCTTCTAAGAATGATTGGTACTGGACGGCGCGCTGAAAGATTTTGATGCACATTACTCGGTGGAGGACTCCCGTCCAGGCCAGAGGCTGCTGCTGATGTGGCTGGCCACGAACCAGCAGAACGATTAGGCAGGTCAGAGTTATGTGGTTCGTCTGCTGGCAATAAGGCCGATTCAGCAAGGGGAGCTTCGCTGCCAAGTAGCACGGCGTCAATAAAAGCATGCAGGCCAGGGTCGAGAGGGGAGGCAGGCTGTAGCGGGCCGTCGTGAAGCGGCACCTCAAGTATCAGCAGTCCTCGCCAATGCCCCTCACCGAGTGCTTCTTCGCCTCCCCAGTTAGGACCTTCTTCTCCTCCGTTTGCCGCTACCTGTTCAGCCGTTTCTGCCGGTAATAGTGGAGCTGTCGCGCCGGCGGTCACCTCCACTGAAGAAGCATCTGCTGTTAGTTCATCCGCCAGCATAGGAACAAGAGGCGGTTGAATGTTGAGACCTATGTCCTGTTGGTCATCTAAGGACGTACCGCCAGGGGAGTCGGTGCTACTTGGATCGGATACCCTGCATTTTCTGTTCCTCCAGATAGAGTCCAGCCTGCGGGCGAAGGCCGCACGCTTAATTATCTTTCTTACTAGCAAACTGCACATGTAGACAAGGAATATCATAGCAGAAATGGCAGAAAATGCTGCGAACAGCAGTGAGATCCTCGACTGTCGCGCCGTCGTGGAGGCCCTGCCCCACTTCCATTGCACCCCGTCTCGATGCGTGGTGTCTTGTGGCTTTAGAAGGGAAGCAGAAGGAGGATACTCAGGAGGAGAAGAATTCCCAAGAGGGGGGCCTCTCCAACCTGCAAAGCCAGAACCATCAAGTATTCTCTCGCTCATCTGCGACCGTCAGCAAGACCAGTCCAGGAAACTCATGTAGACTAGCCACCGATGCATTCAGGGAAAGGAGCACCTTCTCGTACAGAGGATAAAAATTTGTACAAGGGCAAAGAAACAGTGAAAGAAGTTCATGTAAGTTAGCAGAACAAGGATGCCAAACGGAGACGGCTACGAAGAGCAACGAAGGCGGCCAGTTCATTCGAGACTTCCTCCCGCAGTAACAGGAACCCAAAGAAATGAAACTCCGACTGCAATGGAAAAATTAAGTATTTCCCTCGTTAAAAAAACAAGAAATATGCAAGATATACTCATTAACCTTCTAACATCTTGATCCAACTTCGAGATTTCCTCACAAATTAACCTCAGGCGGTCTATCTTGCAGAGAGGG